GTAAATCTTTCAAATTGTGCTCTAATGTTTGGATATATCTGTCATATGTAGATGTATGAATGAAGTTGATTAGATTATCTTATTATTATAAGATATCTTACAATTAGAAAAAAACATTTAAAAAAGAAACACCGCCAAGTCATTAAGAGTACCTATCATTAATTTGTAAAAAAATCAGCTTCTTCATCCAACTAACCTAGTTATATCTGTAGAAATTTCGTGAAAACCCACCAAGAATTGTTTTTTTTGCGGAGTTATCAAATATTCGCGATTTATTTCAATATTTTTATAGCTATTATCAACGTTTTCTATTGTTTTGTCTTTGTCTTTTTTTACAATGATCAAAATTACGGCCGCTGAGTCGCCTCCCTCGCTACCTTACAAGTTTTTGAAGGTTTTTTTGGTTTTCTTTACAATGATACAGGATTTTCAAGAAATATTTAAATATTTATGTCATCATTTGACTCCATACGACTTACGAGGACATAGCTTCGGCTTCAGCGCCTACGCCGCCTCGCCTCACTGCATTGCGAACTTTTGACAATTTTTTTTTGCCTTTGCTCGCAATGGTATTTCAATATTGGCGGCATCATTTGACTCAACAAGAGGAGATTCGGATTCGGCGGCTGCACCGCTTCACCTCGCGACTTTAAAAACTGCTAAAGATTTCTTTAAATGTTTATATTTGTAAATTAAAAAAAATATCGACAATTTTAATACGATATTTCCTTTCACATGCGCTATAAAAAGATTGTCATTCCATATAACGTCTCGTGGCGAATGAGATGAATTTAGTCCCTTGCAACACATATCATCATACCGGACGATAATGAAAAACCAAGTCATACCCGCTAATAAATACTCGCTTCAAAGATATTGAACGTATTCCAAGTAATTATATAAAAACTAATGTAAAGTAAGCCGCAATCTAAATTATACTTTGAAAAAGACTTGACATAAATTCCAAAAGAATTCCAAGAGGTTGTTTTCCAAAATCCTGTTATTCCAATGTGATTTCACAAAGAAGAGGTGGCTCAGAAAAAATTAAAGAAGAAACTCAAATTTTGGGACCTCTTTATTCATAGTGAATATTTGTTTTCGCTCCCTCTACGACCCTATTTTTTCGCATACTTAGACGTAATTGTTATGTGTTACACCCTGTATACTTTGTTAGTAGTTATGCATCAATTTACACTTTGTTCTTTGTTTCAGGACTGAAAAGCAGAATTAAAGGGTAAGTGAATGTTTCTTATGCATGTGTTTTATGGATATTAAAATTTGTATTGCGTTTGGTATATGATGTGCAAATATAAAATCTATTTTTTTTCACTATGAACGCCGCATACGAATGTTCATGTTACTTTTTTAAGGTGAGCTCACTAAAGTGCTTGCGAAACGGCGCAATCTTTGAGCGGTAGAATGCGTAAAGTTAAAAATAGCTGCGGGGTAGTAATCATAAGAAATTATTTTAAAATGTGAACCCTTTTGCAACGTTCTATAAACGGTCATTCTTCTGACCTTATTTACTAGCGCACATTTATGTTTCGATGTTACACAGCTACAAAATTCGCAATTTGGCCATATTATACAAAATATTAGTGTCGGAAAAGTTTTTTGCATAGTACCAGATAGAAATTGCTGATCAACCTTGTTCCAGAAAAGGCACGGGTTCCATTCGCCGAAAAACTTTTGCTCCATAGTCATCAGTATAATATGAGTTCATAGCTATACATATTTACTGTGAAGTAAAATAATTTTTTGATAGCGGACGAGACCATACGCCTGTCTGGTATGGGTTTTGCTCTTCAATTTGATTCCAGTAATTATGCACTTTTTTTTATACAACAAAAAAGTTCAGTTACGTAATACAACTTCTAACGAAGATACTTTAAGATAATTATCTCCAAATACATTTCAGGTGCTTAACGCCTTTAAATAAAATTATGCCTAAAGAGTAGACAAATCAACGTTTTAACACACCTAAGCAGAGGTAATACACGCAACAGATGCATGTTCAATATTAAACTAATCGATAGAGCTACTTCGGCTCCATATTCTTGACATCGTTTGGTTAGATCGTATAATTTTAATGGCTATCGCAAATTACGCCATTTACGTCGTATAGGTGTAGATTATTCACTTTGCTCCAGACTTCTGTAACGATCAAATTAAAAAGTTATTGATAATAACTGTATATCTAGTCCAGTGGTTCTTAAAGTGGGCGCCGCAAGTACTTCATAAGGGTGCCGCGGAATGTTTAAATACATAATTAACTTAACATTACATAAATTTAAAAAAAATGAATAAGTATTGCTTTTTTATTACAATTTTAAGTTTTTATTTTACTTATTTCTATGGTTTATAGTTTATTAATCGATGATATGCTGGTATTGCATTTCGTCTCACCTTCTCACTCTTATAATTCCCACTTTCATATGTCTTATTAACTAATCTTGTTAAGTACGAATCACTTCACTTCTCGGTCTCTCAGTGGCTATTAGAAAAATATTCGAAAGTGACATTTTTCTTTCGTTTCCTTGTTTTTGCCGCGATCTATTATAGAAAAAAATGCGCTCGGAGGGTTCGAACCCGCGCTATCATAATCGAAAGGCGGCGGCCATGCATTGCAATTTCCGCTACGCACCGTCCTATTTAATAGTAAATATCCCTTATAAAGCTACAAACTAATACTTGTAATTAACAGTATATATAATATTAAAATCAAACCAAAGGTAAATCAAAAGTACGCTTTAAATGCGTATATTAGTTTCGGCTGTCGGGTTTTACTCATGAAATGATTTTGCTCCCGTCCAAAACAAGTCACCTTAACAAAGAAGAAAGAAATATTAAAGGTCCTTGAGAATTCAGTGAGGGCACGTCTTTCAAAAACACGACATAATAATCAAGGAAAAAATGCAAACCCTATTAAGGAGCATCAGCTCACATTTTATCGCCAGATTCCTACACGTTTGTTTTAAATGTTTTTGTGTTTAGAAATAAACTTACTTACAAAAATATTGACTTCTCATCCTTCATATCTTTACTAACTGTAAAAAAAGAATAACAATACTTAGGGGTGCCGCGAATTTTGTTTAATAATTTTAATGTACCGCCAAAAAAAAGTTTGAGAAACACTGATCTAGTCAATAAGCTTACTCGGGCTATCGTTTTTGGTCGGAATTGGCAAAGGAAGTGTAATATTTATAGTATAACTTTAGATGAGATCTAGTGACATTAAAAGATAATTGTAAACGGTTGATATGGAAATGATGAATAACAAATAGCTGACATTAAAATATGATATGAAAACCGAGCAGTTTAAATTTGTTAACAAAAAAAGCAACAAGCATCCAACATCACAGGAAGCTAAAGATCCTGTTGACCCTTTCACTGGTTCAAGCATTTACAACTTAGATGTAAAGATTGTCGTTCCGAATACGTGAGTAAAACTGGATGCAGCTTCGTATACCCGTTGAGATGAACATATTATAGTTATTTATTATAGAAGATGATAAATGGATGTTTTAACCATCGAGAGAATTAAATTTCACGAGATGGCTAGTTTCTCTTTACCATCCTGTATAATACAGGCCTTTATTTTATAGCAGAATCAGAATCAGAGAGAATCATTGTAAAGGTTCTGAAAATACTATAGGTATTTAATTTAGACGTCCAAAATAGCAAGCTTAAGCTCTCTCGTCATCTCCATGGAAACAATACTGTATTATAATCTGAACCTCATTTCATTTCGTGCTCTGTGTCTCATTTTTAACGAGAATAACGAGATGTCATTGGAATGCACAATGTTGTGTTTCATTTTATCTATCTCTAAATTCTAGGATAGATTGATAAAATTACTGGTATTCCTGGTAATGTTTGATTTAGCATTTCTGAAAGTAATTAAGCATTCCTAATGTGATTTAAGCGTTTTTTTTACAATTAAAAAATTTAAATTCCTTTTGCGAAGGATTTAATTATACGTCTTTTTAAAACAGTAATAAAAAGGTTTAATTCCATTGGATTTAGTTCACCAAATAGAATTAAATCACGAATTAATTCCCTTTTGAATTAATTCCTGTCTTGCAGTGTTATTACAAAGGTATTTTTGCGTATTAAATATGTTCCAATATTGCAATAATTAGACACCTTGATACTTTTTTTAAATTAATTTCTAGCGCGGCCGCAGTCTCGGCCTGCTCGTTTAAGTTACGTTTTAATTACACATTAAGTGTCAATGGATGGATACGTGAGGTGACAAATGGTAAAATAACACGGCAGCTTATTTAGTTCTTCCTATGACATCAAACTAAGTATTTTGTCTTTTTTCCAACGAAATTTTGTGTTTAAATAAAGCTTTTGTTCTACCACCTTAACCGTGCCCTTTACCAAAAAGAGATGGCATAAAATTTAGTTCCTCCGCATGAAGTCAAATTGTTATGTTGGTTTTCCAAAGAAAATTTGTAAACCATGAAATAAATAATTGATTTGTCGTTTTTTCCGACAGATTGTGTAAATGAATGAACATTTTACTCCACCAACTTAATCTTGAAGTTAACCAAAGGGAGAGGGACTATACCTACCCAAGAAATCAAATTGTTTTGCCTGAACATCTTCTCTACGAACTTAATCTTGACCCTAACCAAAGAGAAATTACGTACAATTTAAGCCTCCCCATGAAATTCAATTGTTTTGTCGTTTTTTCCGCCCAAATTTGTAAATAATTAAAAATTTAGTTCTACCAACTTAATCTGGACCTTAATCATAGGGAGATGCCATAGAATTTCAGCACAGACCAACAACTTTTGAGAGCGCAATAGAGCGTATTTAATTTTGGACACCGCGTTAAAATCTCAGGAAAAATACCCACAATAATATGTTAATTATTTTGGGCGTTTTTTTTTTACATTGGCGTTAGGCGTAGGGTATTTAACGCTTCTTGTGCCCATAGTAGATTTACATTGGGAACACAATGATAATTAAAGGTAAACATTTTGACTTACCACTCCAATCGAAAAGTAATTATTGATGATATTATAAGGAATTTTTGAGTCGGCCTGGTTGGAGTTTGGTTCCAATGGTTCAGAGTCGGTGAGTTCTATCAGCCACCTGTCCAGCATGACCGTCGTCGCTCTGGCAATCTTGTGCAGCAGCTTATGCACGGATTCGCCTTCGTAACCTCCGCCCCACCTCAAACATCGCGCGAGGTCATTTCCGGTACCCAGCGGGATGACGGCGACAGGAGGTTGGCACTCTAACTCGACTTTGTCTAAAAATAGATGCGATTATTTCAGACTGTGCGTTTAAAGGGCGTACCCATTGTTTCCAAAACCCACCCAACCGTTCCGTCACCTCCGCAACATACCACTTTAAAGTTTGATACGTCTTTAAACATCGTCAGACCTTGCATAGGTCCGCCGGTCGCCAAGTTGTGCACTTGTCTAGGGTTGAGTATGTATTGAAACTTTCTTAATATACGACCTCCTTGTCTTCCTCCCGATTTAGGATTGATGAAGACTAATACGGGTGTAGTGTTAGGTGGTGGGGTGACTTGAAATGACATGGGTGGTTGTTTTGTTACGCTTGATTGCAAAGAACCCTAAACAACATAATTATTTTCTGCTGAAAATGACAAGGTACCAACCGAGTTACAGTCGTGCCCATACTTCGACCCGCGTTTCTGCAGAGATCTTTGCCTATCAAGAACTATGGGACAAATGGCAGTCGGCGGTAATATATGCACTGCGTGTTCGCCCAATCCGCATTCCGCTTTAATATGGGAAACACACTTATTGTGCAACTGGAACAGAAGTTGACAATCTTTAGTCACAACTTGAGCAACATAATGCCTACCGTGATCTGGCACCATCGACAGTGCAGCCCGGTGATGCCGGCTTTAACAGGTTTCCGACATCTTGCACATTTACCGTGGCAATTTCCTTCCACCCAATGGTGCTGTAAAGTTTGAACTGACTTTTTACTTTTAACGTAGGTCGCGATGCAACTCGCGGGAGCTCTTTGAACACATCTTTCGTGCACCGTATATTTACAAACTGAAAGACATTGTTAGCGGACACCTTAACTCAAAATGAAGCTTACATGTACAACACAAGCCTTTTTTTCCTAGTCCTACAAGCATATTTAAGCATAAATTACAATAAGCGGGTCTACTGAAATGTTTTAATCTCCACAAGTGATTTCCATCTTCTTTGACATTTGAGTCTAATCCTAGAAGGACTAACAGTGGTATAGTTGTTAGCCCTCCTCTCTTCCATTCTTCCAATGACACCGTACCATCGGCATCATAATCAATCTCTACCATCATATCTTGCAAGATCTGGAACAGATACTTGAATTGACAGCGTAAAGGAGGAGCACTCACCGGTTTTAATTCCGTAACATCCCAGCCTAAGTACTCAGCAACCGTCATCATCTGATTAATTATGCAATCCATCTCATTCGTATCCAATACGCCGTTACCATCCGTATCGTATAACCGAAACATAACTACAAACGGCATAAAGTCCCTTTCTAACATTGATACTCACATTCTAGTTTGTCTTCGGGACGTCCCGCTTCTAATAAAGAAAGATAACAGACGATGTCTTTAAGAGATACTTTAACAGAGTTGACGTCAATTGTACTAGCTTTCCTAACGATATGTCGCATTTCTGTAACAAAAATCTCTTCAGCAAAACTCCCGGGGACTTTATAAACAACGCTCTACCTTCTAATTTACCATTATTAACAAGTAACGAGTTATTAGATTTTTTGGAAGAGTTTCTTGACATTTGACTATGAGATGGTGATGAATCGGCACTCTTTTTATTTAACACTTCGTTGCATGAGTATGATGTATGGGTTATGGTTAACATTGGATGAATGCTTCCTGCAAGAGTTAAATATTAATTTTGGCGTGCAAATATTAATCATACCGAGCAGACATCATGCACATTGTTACAGAAGCCTTTGCGAGGGGCGGATTTACGATAATTACAAGTTACAAACATTATCCATGACTGTGGTTGTTTCTTGGATGCCAAAGAAAATGTAGCCATCTCAAAATGTTCCCGAATATTGAAGTGGGTTCATGATCGAAATACATATTTTAGTACAATTTTCCCGAAAACGTTTCTAGGAATCTTACCGTGTCAGGGAATGTGTAACAAAACTTATGAGGCTGTACGTTAATAATTAATATTTTCTTTAAATTCAACCCCCGTCATCATGGCGTTAGGCTCCAATGACATGGAGCAGCTCTCTGTCGAAATAAAATATTTGAATATGGCATCTACTTCGTATTTTACATTGCACATTATTAGTTTTACTGGATTATCTAATTCAATTTCTCATTATGAGTAGCCTCATATTTAGAGTGTAAATTAATTACTTGGGAAAAAAATGGAACAAAATTCAGCTCCCTTTGAAAATTTCACATATTCTTAGCTTTCTATTGCCTATTTCTCTAATGTACAGTATGTCCTATTTTGGTTGAGACTGAGGTGTAGGTATCTCACTTTTTTTGAAACTTTTAATACCACAAACAGAATTAATCTCTAGCTACGTTTGTTTCGGAAATACAGGGCGAAAAAGAAAAGTTTGACTTTCTGATATGTTATCGTATCTTACTATCCATGTAAGATAGAAAAAAAACTGACCAGTTTAGATAATTTTATGTATAAACCAGTGACTTAGTAAAAAAAATGTAGGACCACAGTTTCTGAGATTTGATTCAATGTTTTTTTTGCTGTTTTTAAATAGTAGGCCATGGATTTACGGAGACGTTGGTTTGTTTATTGTATCCATGGTGATTAAGAATACCTGATACCAATCAACAAAAATGACTGACGGTAGAAATAATGTCATTTTCAAATTTTAAAAAATATATATAATTATATTACAAAATATAAGTTGCCATACATCAATGTAATCCGGAAAAAGAATGCAAACAATTGACCTTAAAATATACAGGTGTTGCACTTAAAAAATACCAACTTTGGGCAAAACTTTAGGAAACAGTGGTCCAAAAATTGTTTTGACTGTGTCACTGGATTCTACGTAAACATTTCTAAAATAGGCAGAAGCTTTTTTCTATTTTAAGTAAGATATTTTTGGTTTTCACCCTGTGTCTCGCGAAAGTCCCTATCTTTAAAAACAGCTGTGATATACTGCAGTTTCAACCAAAAAAGGATACACTGTACATCAATAAAATTTAGTAATAATTTTTAGTCCGAGGGTAAGTAGAAGAACAAGGCGAAATTTAATATCTTGGGACGCTCTTTGGGGATTACCTACTGCTCAAGAATAAGACTTGATTACTATTATTATTTCTGTGATGCTAGTCTTTCAAAATGCGATAAATGGATAGCAAAGTGTGATCCTGTTATGCGAGTACTAGTGTTTGTCAAAGTTCATACATTTTTATCTAATATTTTGGAGGGCTCAGCTTCCTCAACGTATTGGTTGAGGAGGCGGACTTGTCCTGATGAAGCCCCTTACGAAGGTCGGGGAAACTGTAACTTTTCGTTATGTATACATTTTCTGAAGTAAATCCTTCAGTTTTAAAGCGAATGCCACTTTTTATGAATATTCAAAAGGTGAAACCCTTCGATTTTTTGTTAATTTTTGATATCGTTTTTGACGTTCTGTTAATTTAAAGGTATCTAAATTTAAAATGTAATATATTAGCCTATACAGCCAAGCGCATCGCAGGGTTTTCTAATTGTTCTGCATTATTTTCTAATTTGACAACAAAGAGAAAAAAATAAGCTTTCATATGATCTATGGTTCTTCCAAAATTCAACGGATTTTATCTCGAAAACTGTAAAATAATATTATAGATCTATCTTCTATAGATAATAATATAATATAAATAATAATCGAATAAAATACAGGGTGTCCCCTTAGAATTTTCAAGTTGGTGGCTGTGGGTCGCTATTGAGACATCTTGTAAATAATAATACCAAATTTGAAAACTTGTGCTTAGGCCAAACAACTGATGTATTATTTTGCGAAACCGGATAGAAAATGTATTAGAGGGAGAATAAAAAATATAGTCAATAACCCGGTACACCCCCCTTAAACACTCAGTTAAACATTACAGATATTGATTTTGAGAAAAATTATAACAATGCTGTGTATTGAATCCTATTCTATTCTATTTACGTAGCCTCGCCACCTTTAATACCACAATCACCATACTGAGGTTCCTAAACAGTGAAGTTCTAGAAATTGTGTATGGTACTGTGATGGTATTAAATATGGACCCGTTCCGATACACAGTGATGAAAGTGTCTCAAGCTTTTTATGTTATATCGAGTTCATATCATCCATCAAGTCGAATATTTTTCAGGTTCTCAAATTGCTTTGATTTTCCCGGTAATGGCGGATTTATACAATCATTATCATTAGTTCACTATCAAAAATCATTAAGGAATAGCAAATAGATATTATTGCACTTTGCTAATCAACGAAACCCACCATTAAACTTACACCATTTGTCTTTAAGCGTCTCTTAAGTTCGTCTGAAGGTCTCTTCTCAAGCTGCTTTCAAGGTGTATCAATTTTTTTCATGTTATATACTTCACTACAAGATTCTCCTCAAATATCTCTCAAAACCTAACTTTTCCCCTGTTCCTCTCAAGCTTTACTTAATTCTTTTTTACACGTCTCTAAGTTCCTTTGAGGTTTTGTTTTCAAGTTGCCCTCAGCTTCCCAAATTTCTCTCACTTCCCCTTCAGTTTCCTTCGACGTAAGAAATTCCTCTCAAGTTTCCCTCACATTCATTCATCATTCATTCAAGTTTTACACAGGTTCTCCCTCAAGTTTAAGTGCGAAGTGGCATTTCCCTTATCTGAAATAGAAATTTAATGCCATAAATGGTATTATTGCTATCCTCTTAAAATTACTTTCATTCGCGTTCACATCTCATTTTCCTCTTTAATTTTACTTATCTCAAGTTCCTCAAATTTCTCCCCGTTCGCCTATACAATTCTTTTTCGTTTCTCTCGTACCTTCAACCTCCCCTGAAATTCTCCTCATAAAAAACCCTCCGGGTGTCCTGAAGCTCTTCTTCAGCTCCCCCTGAATTTCCAGCAATTTCCTCTTTACATTTTCCACCGTTAAGCTCGCTTCAAATTGGCGAGTTTCTATCAAATCTTTCTCAATCTACCTTTTCTTAATTTCCCGACAATGTTCAAATGAAGCACTTCTAGAGAGCCGCTCTACTGTAATATCAGTTCAAAAGTCTGGAATCGCCGAGTATGGAAACCATTTAGTCACCCTTCAGGCAGCATATCTTAAAAGGATTAGAGCCTTATGGAGTTTTCGATATTCGAGATGTTTCTTTGTAAGATTTACGATTAAAATTCACACATGAAATGCAACTGAATATTTTTAGCGCATTTCCACATAAATTAAAAAATGCGCTATTGCGCCACTTTGTCCTCCCGTCCGTCCGTCCGCCCATCCGTTGAGACGCTTTTGTAGTTTTGGAAAGATTTTGATTCGATTTCCTCGAATACGTACGGAAAACGCGTGAAATGACTGAGAAACTATTTTTAGTGCAGTGTGGGTGGACACATTAAGATACTCAAACGTATATGACAAGCTCCCTTTTCATGTCCCATCTTGCATTTTCCCAAAAGGAGGTTCATAGTATAATTAATGGCTGTAGACCGTGACACGTTTCAGCGAAATTTAAAGTTTTCGTCTAAACTTTTTAAATATTTAAACGAAACGGAATAAAAGAAGATATATGGCCTACATATGCGCTAGACGTGTACAATATTTACGTTATACTTGAAATTTATAAGTCTTTCAAGAGGAGCGAATTGCTTTACGAGATCAGCGTAAAACTTGCTATAAAATTTATATCTCGAACATGATTGAGAAGTAGTAGGTAAGACGGCGATAAATCGCATAGATCAAAGGAAAAGTTGGAAGGTGCAAATGAAATCGCTTAGCATGATTACACGTACGTAATTGTTCCATTGAAAATTGAAAATTATATCTCGTATAAAGCTTTTCATTCAACGGTATAACGACGTGCTGAATTTTTAATTACACAAAAAGAAATGGGAAGCAAGGAAACCGCAATATCCAAGTTCCACTGGATGTAAGTGTTTTTAAAAGTAACTTCAAGATCTCCCCATAAGCGTATAATATAAAATTGTTGTGTTTAAAGGTTACGGCATGTTTCGGAACAAAACTTGTCCATTATCAAGTAATACAAATTGAAACGTGAAAGCTAATGAGGAAAAACAAATATTTGATCCAAATTCCAATGAGAATCTACTAAACTTAATACGAAGGAAGAATATTTTATTTGACTTTTTACAACTCTACAATTATTTTTTAAAACAATTACATTGATCTTAATACCCCTTCTCGATTGGATTAATTTCTCAAACTGAGTTACATCTAAAGACTTGGTCAATATATTTGCTCTTTACGTTGATATTGGCTCTACTTTGATAATCCCTTTTTCAACGCAATCCATTATGAAGTTATGTTTAATATCTCATTATATCTTCTTTTATAACTATATCCAAATTCTCCAATATTCCCTTTATCCATAGCTTCTCCACACGCATCACTTAATCCTACCTACATATTCTGCCTCACTAGACGATGTAGCTACTGCAGATTGTTATCGACTGGACCAGGATACCGTGCATCCAAAAACTTTAAACACGAAACCACTTGTCGATTTTCGATCTGCAGTATCTCCAGCCCAGTCAGCATCCGCCTCACGTTCGCCACCGCTACTGCTACCGCCATTTTGTCACTGCGCGCCTCTTCCGGAAATTGTATAAAGCAAAAATAACAAGTATATCCCCTCCATTTGCGGCGCTCCATTCTGTTGAGGCGAATATGCAATAGTTGTGTGTATTTAAATTCCTTTCATTTTATACCATTTATCCTGTTCCTTAGACAAATACTGCCTACCTTGATCTGGTTTTAATTTTGAAATCGGTAGTATTCACTTAGCTGTAGCCATTTCTTCATATTCTTTTGTAGCATCAAATACTTCTGATTTATTTAAATACGGGGCGGGGTGTCCATTTAAAAATTGGAACTTCATTTTGCTATAAACTAAAACCGCCCCAAAAAAACAGCTCAATATCAAATGACCACCACGGCTGACTTGGCAATAGCCCGCATGTAAATGTTCCACCAAATTTTTGTGTACATTTCCGATTATTTCGGGCCTTATCACAGCAATAGCAGTTTGAATCTCGGTTTTGAGATCTTGAATTGTTTCTGGATTATTGGCGTAACATTTATCTTTCACCGCTTCCCAAAGATAATTTTAATTTTAAATTATTAATTTTTGTGCCAAATTTTTTTTCAAATTTCGCACAGTTTGAATAGAAGACTCGCCACTTTGGAAATAAGTTTTTAATATTTCCCAACTTTATTCAATCGTATAGCGTCCCATTTCGTAAATTTCAGAGTTTTTACTAAATATTTGTCACTTCCCGAATGACATTTGACGTTTTGGAAGTCGGTAGTTCAAATTCCAAACATTAGATGGACTATCCGTTATTTGCAAAATGTGTGAAATCATCTATAAAGGAATAGTTATTTATGTAAAAGTCTGAAAAATGATACTGGCGAGGAAATATTGAAGTACGAGGCCCCTTTGGAACTGAGTACTTTAATTTCCGAGTCAAGTGATGTAATTTTACTGACGAGTTTTGTATTAATCTTGCCCGAAATCGTATTTTAATATAAAATTTCAATTTTTGTGTAGAACTTGTTATTTTGCAAACGTCGAATGGAGACTTTCCCACATTTCTTTAGCAGTCTGCTTGTCACGTACATAAGACAAGCACTCATTATTTAGAGACAGACCAGACGGTCCTTCGCTTTCTTATCCCTCTTCATGAAGACATTCCTATCCTTTCCTTCGGTGTGTGGATCGCCCGTTAAAACGTCCACTAAATTCAGGGAGTCCATATATCAATCTTGACCCTATATTGCCACTCACCAAAATTGCAGCCGTTAAACTGCCGAATACCAGTATTATTGTTGTTACCAAGGATTTTTTACAACTCGACAATTATTTCAATTATTTTTTAAAACGATTGCTCTGATCTTAATAATTTTTAAAAGTCTTGGTATTTTGACAATTGGGACAATAATAATAATACAAGTCAATTTACAGTAATGCGATTTTTCAGAGGGTAAACAAGAATCCTCCGTATCTCACATTGAATTAGATTCAGAGTCAAAAACATATTGCGAACGGAAATATCTTCCGAAAAGTGAACGTATACCTTTGTGTCCTGATGATGATGATTGTGACGCTTCCTTTTGATGTATATATGTTGGTCAACTTTGTTAATATGAATGCGTAAACCCACAGCACTTTTAAAAGTTTTACAACACAAATCACACTTGGTAATCCAACGACAAATTCAATTTCGGGGAATCAACATTTAAATGTATAACTGTGACGTAGACATAGTAATATTTTAATTTGTCAAGTATCATATATTGCAGAAGGAAATAGTTCAATACAGGGGATTACGATAATCGTTGAATTTAATCCTTAAATCGGATATGTTTCTATAAATTATCATCATTTGCCATACCACACCAAATGGTTGTCTAAAATTAGTATCATGCGTCAAAACATGCAGAGATTGGTTATGAAAAGATCTAATCTACTGGTTGATTCATGCTCAAAACCGGCAATACCTGATTTGACACGAGTCGAAGAAGTGTCGCTATCCGATCGATGATGCCCCAGTAACTTTTCGCTAATACCATGAAATTTTTCAACTAAAAATTCACCGTAATTAGTTCTTTCGCTACTTCCACCACCACTCTTCTCTGAAATATCAACACAGGCGTTTACGTTTGGCGTAGAGCTGGAACCTAAGAGCACGTAAACAAAATAAGAAGTTACTGTCACTTTTTTTGCGTAAGTCAGAGAAAACGGTTTTACGAACCAATCGTTTTGAAAATTTTGGTTCTCGCTCATAAACAACCAGGAATCCACTTAGGGTGATTGCATATTATGGTACATTTTTAATTTCTGAAAAGGTAAATAACTTCTTTATTTTTCTCACATGCCTTTCGTGTCGGAAAAAATAAAAATAAACCTCTACGTTAATCGCATCGCCGAAAAATGTTATTAGCGCAAAAACTACTAAAAGCATTCTTCTTCTATGAGCAAAAAGAAATAAATTTGCATCATAATTTGAGATCACCCCACATACACAAAAATATCTCGCATGCATTCGTTTAATTAAATTTTCCGCATTGCGGGCTGTACGGAGACGCATTAAACCCGTAAAAATTAATTAATAAAGAGCGTCGTAACAAATTTTTCGATGTCGCTGCTAAATGCAATACTTGAGTTTTCTCTACTTAATTAATTCGTGCTTAAGCCGAGAGGTAGTCGGCGAAGGCCAAAATTATGTGATCAAAGGCAACATCAATTTAGAGAAACGTCAAGTAGCGTACTTCATTTGAGTTAATTCAATTTCTAAGAGCTACAAGTTTTCTAATAAATAAATTTATTTAATTTGCCAGATATTAAAGTCTCAAACTCGGAGTGTGCAATGATTGTAATCGCACGTTGCTAGATTTCCAAAATATTGTACTTGCGCTAATTCAGGATCAAGTTTTCTTCGGAAGTACTCAAATTTTGTGTACTTTTTTTAATTGCATGATGACCTCGCAGCAGGTTGTTACGATCCATTTACCATCTATCGAATATTCTTAAGACGTTAGAAGGCACCAACTGGATTAATTTTCGATTTAAATGCGCCACCCATCGACGCATTCTCTAAATTCCGAAAACCCACTCTATGTCGTGTTCAAACTTGACGATAATTCGAAAGGGATAATTTTGCAGTTTGACAATGCGGTTTTCTCATGTAAAACAAAATTATTCCGTCAATTCCACTCGTCGTTTGATCAACCCACGTCGCATTTGCAGGGTTAATTAGCCTTTCTAGAACGAGTGTGTTGAGTATGAATAGATTTCACGAACTATTCAGAAAGCAAGTAGAAAATGTTGTGATAGGGGTTCAATTGAAATTCGTAACTCGTTAACAATTATCTTAGTACAGAACGAAAAGGAAATGAAAATGTAAATAACGGTGAGTTTCTTTTTCAAAGATAAATTCAATTTTCTGAGCGCCTTTGAATTATTGAGTTATTTTTAAATGAAGTTGGCTACAAATTTTCACAGCAAAAGCGCACATGGTTAGTAGGAAAAGGAAACGTACAGCGATATTTGATGTATGTACGTATTTGATTAACGTCGCGAGAACCTTAACTTTAATATAAACGCGAGCACATCAGAATTTAAATGAAACGAGTGTTTTCGTAATTGTAAACAAAAACTAAAGAAACAGCGACTACAACTTACGATCTCCATTCTACAAACAAAGCAAAGCATCCAGCCATTAAATCTAATAAAACCGAAAGTTTTGAATTTCTTTTTATTACCTTTAGTATGAGAAGTAATGGGAGCACACGCTGTTGTAGAGCTTAATACGGCCATTTCTTTAAAAGCTTTACCCTCAACTCTAACGCCTTTACGTACAAATGAGAGAAATAAATGTCTGCATAATTCTTCCGGTGTTCGTACTTCCAAGAAGGTGTCCAAGAAACGGCGGAAACTTTCGTAGTCGATATCCTGCAATGAAAGATTTATTTTAGTAGGAAATCGCCATTGGGTTCCGTTTAAAGTACTCTTTCGTAAACGCTCATATTTTATAAAGTTTTCTTAAGGACAATATATGGAATTTCATGAAGCTCTTAATTTCCTCACATGATTTTGTTTTAGGCAGTTAAGTGGATAATGGTATATAGGAACGCTGTACTTGCACAAAAAAATCTGTTCTAAAATGAAGGTTCCAAATTTTGAACAGATTGTATTGGTTCGCAATTTCCCTGGATAAGGTCGTGGGAGAGAAATGAGTGAAAATTACTTTGGTTTAGGTTTCTTCACTCTGTCCCCCAAAACTTGCCATCTTGAATAAAGCACGCATTATGGTTCATTGGCAGTTCAAGTCTTAAAAGTTCGTTTGAAATTATCATTTAGTTTTTATGGCTCTCTGAATTGAAAGCTACGAGCACCCTGTATAAGATTTTTCAATAGTTAGAGCTCAAGGCTGTACGGGAGCTCTAAATTTAGATTTGTTTTTTCGAATTTTATAGAGATGGATAAAGTTTACAATTGTTGGATCGAAATTTGAAGTGCTGCAGAGCATTGATAGTTTTCTTAATCGATTCCGGATGTCTGGAGACGAGATGTCCGGGATTTCGATCATATTAAATTATCCTAATTAGTGCTACTTGATTACAACTGCAAATCAGCAATAAGTATAGTACAGTCGACAGGTAGTTTTAGATAGAAAAAGGTCGCAACTTTGGAATGCTGTTTAGGAATGGTTATTTAACATTTTCTCAAGTTTTTGACCTTGAGGACCCTCGGCGAAGGGAGGGGAGGGGGCTGGCAAATTGGGGGTTGGCACGTTTATTCCCTTGCTTTGGGATAATTATGTAGTGGGGGTGCGGGGGGAGAGATATCGACCCAGAATGTAACTATAAATATCAATACCAACATAATGTGAATAAGGGTGGCTTTCAGCAGAGAAATATTACGTTTGAACGAGACGAGTTATAAACATACTTTCGTGAGCATTATAAAAACAATTGCTCCAACTAAAAAATCAACCCAGTGTATTGCTGTGACCCTAACATTCGGACCGCGTAAAAAATAAATGCAATGCCCTAATACGTTGGGTGAGTGGCAAATGGCAAATAATGACCACGATCAAGTCCCATAAATTCCAAAAAGAGTTTGAATTTTGAAAACGCCGGAAATAAAGCACGAGACATATATCTGGATTGTTAAAAGGGTTCGAATACGGGGTACATCAATTAACACAGACAACATTTATTCTAAACACACAAATCATATTAAAGACATAATTCTAACAATTAAAGTGAACTGTAACAAAGTCCGTTTTTTTACACCCCGTATAAGCGGTAGATAACAATTGAACAAATTAATGAAATTTTAAACTACTTACAGTTTTTTTTGTTAAAAATCTAAACAATCCGGGCAAAAACTACTTGCAACAGAGAACAAACGCACTCACAAACGTAGCGCGCTACACTGGTTTTTCTGTAACTTATCTCCTCTTTGAGACACCAAGAACGTCATTTTACTGCATTGAATTGGCTGGCCAAAAAACGACCGATGAAAGATGGCTGTTTGACACTGTTTCATCCAAATATTACTTCTTTTTAAACTTTCACTCCATACTCGACCAATATTTTCACTAAAATGTTCTAAACTTTATCAGAATTACGAAGAACAAACTTTGTGTACACCATACGAAAGACAAACTTTGCCACAAAATTGACAAAAGGCCCATCCGCATTCGACCAATCAGCTTTGTGATTGTTTCAAATTCTAACCAATCAGATAATTTTTTAAGTGATTAAAAGCTAGGTTGCTGATGTTTATCCGCGATAAAAATGCGTGTAGGAATACGTAATAGTTATTTATGCATCAAGGGCATTAAGGCCCCAGGGATTGTAAGTCGCCCGAGGGTTAAATATTGAGTAATGCCTGAGGTGCATACAACATTTTATTTTTCATCGTTCCAAAGAATGCATTTCCCATATAAAAATATCATGATTATTGTTTGCCCAACATTAAAGTGCTTCATACGAATCAAGTTGCATCTTTTTTATTACATAATGTAACTCCGTCAATCAATTTGACAGGCCGTTTGAGGGCATAATGAGATGACAATCCATTATGCCCTCTCATTATGCCCTTGGGCGTAATAGACTGCTTCATATATCACATATGACAGATATAATTGACATATAATAGGCAAATGAAAAATAAAATATATAGTAGTTGTAAAATTTAGTGTCTTTTATTATTAATCTCCCTAAAATACACTCGATCTTGGATCTAAAAATCAGGATAATTTTATTATTAATTCACTCAAATTTTGTTGCTTCCTGGAAAAAACTCTCGATCAAAAGTATAGCTCCAGTTAAAGCTGTCACGATTTTATCACACTTTTGCACCATTGCAAAACTTTCGTGTAAAGATAAAATTCTCCGATTAAAAATCAAGCTCTTGTGTATTTACCCCCGAAAATCACGCAATCTTTGGCCATTAAAACGCATTCTTATCGCTAATAAATTACATGAACCTTTTAACAAAAGTAATAATAGTGCCAAATAATTTAAACAGAACTGTCCCTTAAATGATTTAACAAAGCAAAATTGATAACAAAATAAACGATAAATTGTCCTACATTTAACAATTCTAGGAATTAATCGCAGATACTAAATTATTATTTTATATTGAGCAAGCCGCAGATGCCACCCGTTAATCGTTTTTCTAAAGAATTTTCGAACTTACTTAAAAAGTCATTTTTTTCAAGAACCCACTTATGAGCTAAAAATCCTACTGCAAGGCATCGTAAGTACAGAATTCCTGAATATACGTGGTTTGCTTCGCTGACATGAACAAGGGGAGATTTAAAAATCCATTAGAATTCAGCATAGATTTTTTAAAAAATTAATAAAAACTAGGGCATCACATTTCCAATAGTGAAAATTGAATAATTATCAGAAATTTATTACAACTTTTCATGTGACTCTCTGCAAACAATGTTAGATACTTCATTTTGAAAATGCGAAAATGCTTCAAGTACTTCAACTATAAACTTTGGTATAGTAACATAAAGTTTGTGTTCAATATGATCGTATTAAAGTTTTATAGCCAAAGCTAACACGGTTCGAGTGTAACCCAGAGTTAAAAATTCAATAAATTGAAACGTTTCAGATTTAAAAACGTAGAGCAGAAACTGTCAATTTAGTTAAGGGTGGTTGAAATAGGAGATAAACTACTTTGTAGATAAATGACACGATATGTACATCTATAAATCATAGCATCTTCCTCAACGTGACGAAACCATTGTCGCTCTCGGGATTGATTAGTACACGTTGAACGGAATTTCCTATTACTTATCGTTTCCATTTTTCACAGATAGAGATTTTTATAGGAACAAAGAAACCGCTACTCTTAGGGCGACCTTTTATTTTATGTCCACTTAGAAAAAGAGAAAATACTTAAATTTCTGCGTTTATTTACACAGTCGTAATCTGAGATTTGGATTTACGCTTTTTATGAGCTTTTGTTGGGATTCTATGTTCGATCGGTGTCAACTAAAATCATCGGAAGCTCCCTCTAAAAATTAATTTTATGGAATTAATTTACTTTTCTCTTGAAGAACCGATCGGAAAATTACTTCGTGACAAAAATGGGGACGGAAGTATTGGCAATCCAATTAAAGTGGCATTTATTCAACCAGCCGTTTTCGATTTAAACGGTCTCCAGTTTATTTGTTCTTTATTGGAGTAAAATATGTGCTCCGTGAGTGATCGTTAAAGACAGCTGAAAATATAATTTTCTGATTGGGATCTAACATTTATGTGGTTTTAAAGCAGTGGATATTTTCATTGCTGCAATAAAACAGACAGCAAAATCCATGGGTAATGTCGCAGAATCAGAGAGATGATAAGTTGGGATGTTCAAAAATAAAAGCCATGGAATTAAAATGAAATAAAGGGGAAGAATGTTAAAGCGAATACCGCTGGAGGAAGAAAATATACCATTAAAAACATTGCAATGGTAATTCAAGACTGTTATGAAAAATAAAATTAATGAGAGGACGAATAAACAAAACCCCAAGAAACGACGTGACTTCGAAGAAATTGAACATCCGCCTTATAGTCCAGATCTACCACCCAGTGACTATTTTTTGTTCCCGAATCTCAAAAAATGACTAAGGGGGCCAAAATTTAGGGACCATGACGAACTTGCGCAACTGTTGAGGGTCGTTTTGGGGAAAAACCAAATGAATTATTTACACTGGACTAAAGATGTTATTGAAACGGTATTATACCTGTATTCAAAAGCAAGAGAACTATCTTAAAACTTATTCAAACCTCTATTTCCATTGCTTCTTTTTCCTTTATCTTTCCTACACTTATTGGAATATTCACAAAACATTTTGTTGAAATATAAATCGGGTGTTTTGAAAGACCATTTATAAAAATACTAAAAAAATCCCTAAAGTTTATGCCCGAACTTTTTCTAATAACCGCAGCCGATATTCATAAACCGCGATTGTAAAAACTGCGTATAATGGATTTCGCGTAGGTAGAATACACCCTTCTTGTGGGCGAAACAGGGTTAACCGAGCAAAGTGATAATGGGATATTACACACTTTGTGTCTACTTTTAAACCAATTTCTGAAAACCGTTTAATTACACCTTTTAGCGGTTTTCTTAAAAGGAAAAACTTATCATGCAGTAACAGTATAATCTTCCCCCGATTTGAAATTATAAACGTAGTTCGTTCCATAATCAATAATAGCTCCCCTCAAACATTCACAAAATTACCCCACTTTTCTTAAATTTTAATGCTAAGTAAGTATAACGAATCGACAACAGAAACTTTAATTGAACTTCTCTGAAAGTTTGACTTCAACCCCATTATACGTATAACCGGATTTAGAAAGTTAAATTTCAATTACACTTTGTAACGAAAACCTTTACAAAATACGAAAGCCGAATTAAAAGTTACTT